ACTTGTATTGCAGTATTAGGTGTGCATAAACGAGGAGTGCCTAACCAAGGTGAAGAATGATGATTCAATCAAATGATTTGCAGCACTGCAGACCTTAGCTCTCTGTTTGTAGGTGGAAAAACTTACTTATGTGAAATAACCAAAGTATATGGAAGCTAGGAGCTTGATAACTTCATGCTAGTGCACGAAATATGTACAGTGTCATACTTCAGACTGGCTCTTTTAAAAACATGAATGATCAAATTTAGAGGCTTTTTGCTGACACGACAGCGTGTGGAGTTGTTTTTAGTGTTAACAGTTCAGTGGCGTTAGAAGATGTCTCAAATGCACCTTAGCCAGTTGAACTTGCATCATGTACTAAGCATAATTGAATGAGTCTTTTCTCATCTGTTTTTGACTTGAATATTATTGCCGGTTTAACTTTATCACATGTGACTCTTTCAGTGCTGCAGGATGTGTGAAAATGGTTTACCACAGCCGTATGCTTGCTGGTGCAGCACTCCAGCAGGTTTGAAGCTGAGGGGTTTTGTGTGTGGGGGGGGGGCTTTTTTTTTAAGCTATACTTTTTTTTTCTTGCTTAGAACACTATCTGTTCATGTTTCCCCTGCCTAGTCCGTATCCAGAGGTTAACTTGGGAAGAGAATTGGGTTTGGATCAAGTTTCCTGTACTGTAGGTCCCCCAGATCTCTCCTTGATCCCAGCCTTGCGTCCAGCCTTGCATCCAGCCTGTACGCTTTTTGGGCATCGTAAGCCTAAGATAGGTTGATACCTGAGGGTCGGATTGCCCAACTTACTGTGAGGTTTCCCAGCCTGGCAAGGTGCGTTCAGTGCAAAGGGATTGCTGTTGGCTGTGGGAAGGGCACAGCCAAGAAGTTATTTTCCCTTTCGTCAGCTTGATAGCCTCCTTGGTGGATGTTCTATGTCTGCAGGCCTGCTCTGCCATATTCCTGTGGGTAGTATTAACACATGTTTGCCTGTTTAAGTGAGAGTGGAGAAATGCAACTCTGGCAAAGAACTGAGCCGCCTGTACTGCGGATGCCTTGTGCTCTGCCGTGTCGTATATGTAACAGTGCAGTAAACTGGGAAACCCCCACATGCTGGCTGGACTTGTACCTGTCTTCTCTGTTATTGAAAAGTAGCTGGCTTCCTTTCCTAATTGACCTGTTTGATCTCTCTGCAATCTATTTCTGAATTTAAGGGAGAGAGCTGCCTGGCCTCCTGTCTGCAGCCAAATTCCCTCTTATTTTGTTGGTTTACTCCATGCTCGTTCTTGTTGGTTCTTGTTTGTGTCAGTGCAAAATGCATGGTCCTCAATGCCTAAAGCTTATCCATAGTTAGTATGTGCTGAGATATAGCTGATCGTTCTTTTCCACCAAGTGTACTGTTACTCTTGCCTCAAAAGGATAGTAGAAATGGCTGTTGTCCTCCCCTTTTCCCAGCTTTAAGAAGAGATTAAGATCTGGGAGTGAAGGCACCTGTGCCTTCAGAGTCTTCTATTTGCATGATATTTGCAAGGCAGTGAGGAAAGGAAGGTCAGGTAGCTGCCAGTGATTACATAGACAATTCTTCCAAGACCTCAGTGTTTCATCCACAGTAGCTGGTTATGAACCTTGCCTGCTGCCTTTTCAAAATCTGTCAACGAGAATTGTTTTTTTGAACTTGAAATGAGAAGACTAAATCAAGCCTCTTCTGTATAGGCAGCTGAAAGGGACTCTGCCTCCCAACCTGTTGGGGTGACAGTAGCCGCGTCCCAGGTGGTATCTTCACTAGATGTTAATGCCTGACACTGGCTGGTTCATGATATAGCTGTGACTAAATAAGCATTATTGGGTACCAGCATGACGATGGTCTGCTTCTGAAGCTGAAACACAGATGCTTTGTGCCTCTTCTGTGCTTGGTGGTAGCTGGCTGGTTTTGCTGTGTAATTTTGACCAATTTTCTCTCTGCTTCAACAGAGTTCTTTAAAATAGAGATGGCTGCTTTAAAAGGCCGTCATGGCTTGTTGTTTCAGTGAGTTGAGATGTGGATGAAAAAAGCCACCTTTAAACGTAGCAGCATTGATATCAATCTTGTCATGATACTACTTTATACAAATGTTTTGGTTTCTCTTTAGTGCACAATGCTAGTTCAGTATAATTTGTACCTGTTATATATGATTGGGTTGAAAGAAATGCTTTTCCTGTTCGAGTTGCCTATAGCTGGTATTTGTCCTAAACTGTGCTTTTTCTGGGAGGTAGGAAGCAGTATTCGTAGTTTGGAATATGCGTGTTAGTATGTGAACAAGTCTGTGGAGAGCTTTTTAGAGAAATGCAAAGAGATGCAATGTCATATGCCCATCAAAGCCGCTAAGCAGCGAGAGCTCCTGGAAGCCCAGCGGGGTATGCGTTTTCTGTAAAGCCTGTTTTTAATTCTTCAATTAGGAGATTTTAGAGGAGTCCTCTTGGCTCACTAATTAGTAGAATGTTCTTGTTTCCATCAGCCTCCTGCCCTAAACTGCCTTGTCTACCATGAAGTCCTGGTCTCCACTGTTCTCTTCCTTCCCCCCCCCGCCCCAGGGATCTCAAAGCATTCGTGTTTCTCAGGCTAACCGCATGGGAATAAAACAAGGCAGCTTTTCTTGCTCGTCAGCTTTTCTTAATAGTAATTTGAAGCTGATCTTTTTTCATGACTGTTACTTACTGCACAAGTTCCTGTTTGGAAACTGCTCGCGTGTGGAAGTTTTCCTGGGTGAATGAAGCTGATGGAGGGTCTCAGAATGAATATCTCCTTAGAAAGGGAGAGCTGGTGGTTGCACTGGGGAGGCTTGCTTTGATTTCCCCTTCCTCAGAATCAGTCCTCTGGTATATGAGAGAGAGAAAAAAATTAACTTTTATTTTGCTTTACATAAATTGGGAGGATCAGGTCAAGAGTGGCCCTGTACCTGCCTCTCCTACACTTCTCTTGCAATGGTAAGAGGAAAGGATTGGTTATGAGCTAGTAGGTGGTCACCTTATCCCACATTTACAGGGTTATCAGCTAGGTCTTATGTTTTTCTGCCTTTAGTACTACTGCACACATTCAGTTTAGTCTTTTTAAAGATCAGATAAGTTCCCATTTAACTTCCCTTACTGTTCCCAGAAGAGTAAGACTTGATTTTTGCAGAGCTGAGGTTTACTGCAGAGTACAGGGAAGACCAGTACTCTAATGCTGTGTATTTCAATTAAAGCTTGTTTAAATTTCCTACCTTAGTGAGAGCCACTGTTACCTTCTTGGGTTCGTCTTCACATAGGAGGTGAGCCTGAATCCTTGGTGGGTTTGAAGCAAAGGTCATGAGGCTGGAGCATGCAGAAACAACTGAATTGACCAAGAAGCATTTTGGGAAGGTGCTCTCTGGCCCTTGCAAATTCTGCAAATTCTGCAAATTCTTTCACTTGCCAGACATGTTGGATCAGCCTTGTCCACTGCAGGAAAATGACAGTGCTAGCCTGTATCCTTTTACAAAGAAACTGTCCTTGACTGAAAGACCAAGACAGCAACTTCAGTCAAGGGCATTCTGACTCTCTGCTTTTGAAATTAGCTTGGTCTGAAACTTCCAGCTGTTGCTGAATGGTTAGGATGGGTGCAGAAAATCCGGGAAAAGTCACCTTGTAAGTAATATATGTTGACCTTGGAGAGGTCCATCTCTGGATGCCTTGTTGTCTTAGCTTTGAGTTTCGAGCATCAGTTCTGCAGTCTGAGGATAACGAGCAGGCTTCTGCTGGCCTTTAAAAGAGGTAATTTTCACATTAGCAAAACTTTGGGAAATACTGTTTTAGATGGCAGCAGCCTGAGCAAGCTGTAATTAGTTATGTGATCCTCCAGGTACTGTTTGTTACTTGTATTCTAACTGGAGAGGTACTTTCTGCTACTTCCTGCTATACACAACCAAAGTGCTTTAGTTAATAATGGCTGTAATTAAGGACTTGGAAGCTTCTACTGTGCTCCTTTTTTCCCCATAAACTTCTGTTTGCTTACTCTGAAGCAACAATAGTGCAGGTGTTGGCATAACATGTCATGCAGCAGGCGAACGCTCAGACTGAAAAGCTCTTTGGGATGTAGGCTCTTTGCTTTCTGAAACATACTGAATGCTAGTTCCCTCAGGTCAAATAGCTGAGGCCTAGCGTGTTAGTGTCAATGATGTTTTTAACTTTTGAATGGTTTTGAGTGTCTGCTGAAGAGCATGTCTGTCATGTTGAGCGTCAGTAGAAATCAACTGAGCCTGCGTGGTCAAGGTGGGCAGGTGATGGTATCCTGTGTTTGTACTGTTTTGCAACAGAGAGGAGTTAGGGATGTGTATAACTGGAGAAGGGCTCTCCATTGTGAGAGAGCAACTCGGGCTGAAAGGAGAAGATGATTTGTAATCAAACCTGTTTCCCAAAGTGGCTCCCTTTAGAGAGTGGATGTTTTCTGTCGAGGGCGTTAACGGAACGGGTATAGACCGTGCAGTTGTACTTGTCACTTGGATTGTCACGAGGACTTACTATCTTTATTACTTTAAAATCAAAAATGCAGCAAGTATCTTGAAAGGATGTGTGAATATTGGATGTTATCAGTATCTCAGCGTATATCTCAGGTCTATCTCTTTTTTCAGAGATACAGATGAAACTTACTTTTCTTTAAAACTCTACTACAACATCTTTGTTTTCCCACAGATGCTTTTTGGCTCCTTAGTTCAGGCAATTGGGCCAAACACAAGTGCATCCATTATGTCTGTGTTTTCTAATAAATGCAACTCTTGTGCAGTTTGCATGCTGTAGAGTAAGAAAGCATTGTGTCTAAAGTACCTGCTATTTCTATCTTTTTGGTACTAAGGTATTATCACTCTTATTATGCGGCTCTTAAAATTTCGTATTGCTTGTGTCAAATTGTTTCTTAGGTTAGAAAACAGTTGACACTGTATTAGTTTCTACAAGTTGATGCTCTTTTGTACCTTAAGTGCATCACATCAGTAGCGAACTGACGCTTCTTTTTTCTTTTTTCAGCCAGATAATGAAATCTCTTCAGACTGCAATCACGTAAGTATTGCTTTGCTTTATTCAGTCTCTAGTTGACTGCATTTGCACCTTACTTCCCTTATCCACCCTAGATGTTTTGCATAGAGTTTGCAGAAGGAATTGGTACACTTTTGAGTTCTGGATGGCCCTACAGTGGAAGACAACCAACAGAGCAACTTCTTTAACCCGGTATAGCCAATACAGCTTTACTGGAGACTGCCGAATGGAATGTAGCTAAGATCTTTATACCTTACTTCTGTATCAGAGAGGAAGATAGCAGGCATCTTTCCTATTTTAGGGGTGGAGGGTGGTTCCCGTGAGTTACTGGGAGCAATGCAATATGCTCTTTTTGGGAAAGATGTGAGCAATACTGAATTTAAATGCTCTTTAATTTCAGCTGTTGAAGATTGAGCCTTCTCTATTGCTTTCACAGCTGCTAGATTCTTAGGTTCCCTTGGAAAATGCTGGGAGGGGGGTGTGATATTTAGAGGCAGTTTGAACCACTTGGCTAGTTTTAGAACAGATTTCCTCCCATCGCCTTATTTAACAGCAAGCAAACTGTTAGGCAGTTTTCAGCCTGTCGAGCTGACGCATAAAATCCTGAGATCTACTAGAAAAAGCGGTAGTAGATTTCCTTTGTCCTCCCTCATTGGCATTCTGGTAGAACGCACCACATCGGGATCCTTAATTGTTTGCTTAGCCCTGGACATGAACAGGCAAGCGCACACCTCAATGACAGGCTTAGTTTCAGATGTTTGAACAGCTATATTTTGGTTTATTGTTGGAAGATATACTCCAGAAATAAACCCAGCCATGCTGTACAACTGGTAATTTCCAACTGTGTTTATAAATTAACCTTTAGCACTGTGCTGCCTGATTTTGTGGCAGTTATAATTCTCTGTTGCTGGGAAGGTTTGGATCAGGTGAAGGGCACATAAAGTTTCAGTTTTAAGTTCTTGTGATTTTTGGTTTTTTTTTTTTCTCTTTAAGAGAAGACTTAAGTATTAAAATGTATCTGACATGTAATTCATCAGTTATGCCAACAAATTACCTGAATGAGGGAAAAAAATGAGAATTTTAGGAATCAAAATTGGACCTTTCTTCTGCTAGATTAAAATGGCCGCTGCTTTGTCACAAGACACATGTTAGGCTATGCGGATTATAGAAGCCATTCACAAACAGGGAGTGTGGGCAAAGTCTTAGCCTCCCAGGCAGAAGTTGATGGGGAATGATTGAAAGCTAGATCACAGAGGTAATTCCATATCCAAACAATAATTTCTTTGCTTCTTTCTGCAGTCTTTGGTAGTCTGGGAAATGTTTCTCTTGGGAAAACATTGCCTACGTTTCATGTACAATTCAAATTTCATAGTCAAAGTTTGACCAAACTATTTACCATTTTTATATTAATTTGTTTTTCTTACAAAGGTAGAGTTATTGAAATGAATTTCAAAACTGACTTATCCTTTATTTTCATTTAAAATGTTTAAATGTAACATAGGTTCCTAGAGGGAGAAAGAAAAAAAAAAAAGAGCTAATAGGTGAGATGTTGCCCAAGAGACCCTCTATTAGTTTGCTGAGGTTTAGATATCCTGCCTTGTGTTTTTCACTTTGTGGTGCCTCAGGAGGAAACCTGGGACGTGTATATACATGCAGAGTGCAACTTGAGCAAAATTAGATGCATTAGATCAGTGTGCAAGAATTAAACTTTTAAATGAGCTAATCTCGTGACTTTTAGAGGAACAGTCATCCTTACTGAGGCGTTTTGCAGCCTAACATCTAGTGTATTGTGCTTAGCAAGACAGGAAGCCTATAGGTTTAAAGTATGTCTGTGTCTAATCACAGCCCTTCAAAGAAGGAAGTGAATAAGGGGCCACCTGCATTGTCTGCTTCCTTTTATGATAAATTTTTGTTAGGTTTTCAACATGACCTCTGCTCATGTCAATGGCATCCATTTTTGGTAGATCAAGTGTTGTGCAAATAAGCCATAAAGCAGGAGGCTGTGGTGGGCTAAAGATACTGCTAAATACATAGCAGGTGGCAGGCTAGGGCTTTCATTGTCTTATCCTTTCAGTTATGAGAGTGACTTCATTAGATATATTTTCTTTAAATGAGTCAGCTCATGACCTGATGGAGAGAACTTTAGCAGTCTGAATGTCTTCAAGATAAAATTACTGTGGAAATAGTTGTTGTCAAGGAGATTTTGCTTTGCATTGATTGTTGCACTGTAGAAAGATGATGATGATGCAGATTTGGAATAACTGATGTTTCATTCTTCTCTGAAACAAAATATCTATTCTTTCTCAATGGGAAGCTCTTAAACCTTCTTCCTACAAACAATCTCTCTCCAGCTCTTATGGAACTACAAGCTGAACCTGACTACAGATCCAAAGTTCGAATCCGTGGCCAGAGAAGTCTGCAAGTCCACTATTGCTGAGGTGAGCTGGAGAAAAGGAACGGACGCTGTTGCGGCATTGGGGGATTTTTCCATTTCTTTAGAATTTCTGTGGGATGATGAATGAGAAAAATATTTTTGGGCTTGGGAAAGCTCTAGCCTTATAGGTCAAATTCCTGGGCATACTATACTTCATTCAGTCTTCTTCCAAAAAAGTAGAAGTCTAGTTTTGATTTTTTTTTTTTTGTCTAGCAGAAAGGATAGACACATAGACATAAATAATGAGTCAGCATACTTGTTTATTCTAAGTTCAAAGTAAATTACTCCAGGGACACTATATTGGGTATTTAAAGTAGGCTTCCTTAGAAGAGAATTGGTTGCATGAATGGCAGGTTCTCTCCCCAGCCTGTTTGTGTCAGCAGTTTATTTTCCATCGGTCTAGTTTTCAGCAGTCGCTTGCTTGTCACATCAGCCTGTTAGGCATAGGGAATGTGGCAGCGCTCAGTGTAGATTTAAGACAAGTAGTTTTCCCGAGGCCTCAAACATTTGGAATCGCCTTCCTTGTTCCCTTTCCTTTACAGTGTTTTCGGTTAATTTGAGAGGAGCACGCAAAGCAGTCTGGCTCCAAAAGTTTGGGAAATAGTAGTTTAAGTGAGGGGTACTCAGTAGCTAGTTCCTCCTACCCTGTTTAGTCTTGTGCTTCCACTTCTTTTAGCACCATTTGAGTTGCAGTAACTGTAACGTTAGGAGGAAAACCATCATTTAGAAAGCTAGAAGATTAAACAGTGGCAGGTAAGCAGCTCACATTCAAGGATTATGCTGTGTTTGGAGTTCAGTAGCTCCCAAATGAAAGCGCTGCCAAATCTATTGAGTCTCAGTCAAGGAAAGACAAATGTTTTCTGTTGGCAACTTTGTTTTATGTCATGGAACTGCTGCAGAATTTATTTTGCAACCTAGGCATTCTTGAAAGCGCTCTCTTAACAGTGTTTAGTTACCATTTTTGTACAATGGCAGCCTGCTATTATCATAAACATTGTGTGCCGAATGTTGGATATGGTCTCTAAATGCAGTGGAAAAAGCACAGAATTTTAGCTATCTGCTAATCACCAGTATTCCTCTTATAATATTTGGTGGTGAATGATGGCCTGAACTGATATTTTGCCATTTGGTGAGTAGTTTTCATTTAAAAAAAAAAAAAAAAAAGTGAACTGGATAAGTAACAGTAATTGTAAATGCTTGATCAGTTGATTAATACTGATAAATGCTAAGGCAAGTGCATAAACCATTCCACTGAATAGTTTTTAGTAGAAATGCCTTAAAATCTTTAAGAACTAACGTGCACAATACTTGCCTATTAACATTTTTATTTAGTTCAAACTAACAGGTAGGTATTTTCTTGTTGTGTGACTGAGCTATTGATTTTAAGTATTGTCTCTTTTTTTTTTTCTTAAGAACAAAGTACAGCTAGAAGAATAAATTCTAATGATAGTCACCTGTGAATTACTGACTATCTCAATTCAGTGCTTTCTGAAAAGCCCACCTTTAATATTATCAACTAAATACCAATTTAGTGTGAATGTAAACATTGTTCTCGACTGTTACAACTTTGTGACTTCTACTTCTGGCTATAGTTTGAATTCAGAATTACAGTTGGCTAGCAGATAACGGCAAAAAAAAAAGCCAATAGCACACGTGACTGCTTGATCTTTTACACAGTTCCCTGACTCAGGCCGTAGAGCTCCGGATCTGTTTCTAATGCCAGGCTCTTCTGAAAACAGCGTGTGGCCGTTGCACGCTGGTTTGGCTCGTGATACGTCTTCTGAAGTAGGGCCAAACCCAAGACGTAGTTTTCTCAAAGCTTGCTCAACTCTCTCCCTTTCACCCTGCAGTGAACCACATGCGTTTTCACCTAAAGTAAAGATGCAGTTTATGCTTCCTCTGTAAGAGGAAGATCAGCCTTTAACTACGTTTTTCTGATATGGATTAAATAGAAAGTGGTCTACCAGCCTATGTCTGCCTTCAAGTCATGTTTTTAAAATGTTGCATGACTCTTGTCTCTTTCTAGCAACATCTTCCCCCTCAGCATAGAGATTCCCACTTGGTATTTGAGAAACAGATAAAATGGTTCACTATATGCTCTCTTAGCGTTGTCCCTGTTTGGCATCTGAACAAGCCCAGCTTACTGGTTGTCATTGGTCTCCTTTTAGTTTGAGCCCTTTAGTATCAGTACAGGAGCAAAAACTCTGATGTAATCAAGTCAACCCCTGTATCTCTTGCTTGAAAAACTGTAGTTTCTGAACTCTAGTCTCTACTCTTTCTGCTTCATTCTTATGGCTTCGTTTTCCAGCATCCTCCTTTAATAGGGGACATCAGAACTGGACAAATATTTCAGAACAGGGTCTTCCTGAGGTTCAGAGAGGCTGTGTAATCCTGATGCTTCTTGGAGCGTAGAGCAAGGCATTGCTTTACTGCTCCTGATCGCAGTATTCCTCTGGGAGTGTCCTGAACAGATAGGCAGCTGTGTTTTTCCACGGCCTGTACCTTTTAGTTCTAAAGGTGACATTTTGGCCTTGTTGTCTGCTTTCCTGGGCAGTGCAGACTGTGATTTATATTGGGGACCTGTCTGTTTGTGTATACTTCTCTCCCAGTCTCTGCGCAGCTTTCAGCTTTTATTAGCGATGATTTTTTTTTCAGACCACTGAATAAAATGGTTTAGTACCAACAATCAGCCTCTGTAAGAGCTTGATAAAAACAAACTTGATGAGGTTTTTCCTTTTAAGTAATGTTTTCAACTTCTAGACAGTTATAAACAGTTCAATAAATATGGTATTGACTTTTGAATCAATCTCACTTCTAGCCAAAATGTCGTACTGTACAAGGTCAAATGTTAATGGGGGCCCAAGTACAGTTTAGTAATGCTATAATATGCTCAGTTTTCTAAATAAAGGTCGTCAAAGTAGCATTTTTCCTACCAATCCACTTGATTGCAGGGATTCAGTATGATTATTACAGAAGATGATTATTGGGTCAGAAGACTGATAATCTTCAAGGTCACTGCATTTACATTCTCCAGATATTGGCACAAATGAGGCATTTCAGAAATATTCAAGTATTCTAACTTGCTGAAAATGAACCTTAGGTCTAGAGAGCTCTTTTGCCAGCAGTTTTTGAAACTATAGATGCAAGTTTCTATGCCTGAGGATATTTTAAGATGTTTAAATTCACTAGCTGCAGCCACTATAGTCTTAATTTTTTTTTTCTTTGAACAGATCAAAGAGTGTGCAGATGAACCAGTTGGTAAAGGTTTCTTGGTGTCTTGTTTGGTGGATCACAGAGGAAACATCACTGAATACCAGTGCCATCAGTACATCACTAAAATGACAGCCATTATCTTCAGCGATTATCGCTTGATTTGTGGCTTCATGGATGACTGCAAGGCTGATATCAATCTCCTGAAGTGTGGCAGCATTCGACCTGGAGAAAAGGTATCCAGAGAACGTGTAGATTGTCAATAGGCTTGTAAAAGTGATTCGCTTGAAGAAGCTTACACGAGTCCTGCAACACTATATTATGGTGGTCTTAACTTGCAACTGTGAAAATCCATGCAATACTTAAGTTGTATGAAGAGGCTGATGTTGTGATTCTATATAGTTCCTTTATAATAAGGTGCATTCGTTGCTTTGTGAGGAACTGCTGTTCAAAGAGATGACTTTCTTTTGCCTGTTTTTTCCTTACCATACCACAGGTAATCCAGTAAGTAGTTGTCTTTTTGGTTACACTTGCTTAGGCTTGCCTTGATGTGATGAATCCAAACAATAGATTTAAGTGACCCATTGCTAAACTTATTTCAGTGTTGTCGGGTCTGATGGAAGAAAGTGATTGAGGTAACGTGGCCTGTGCTAACCTGTTCTGCTTTCTCCATTTGTAGATGATAGAATGGATCAAGAGTCTTTTACTTGTTCCCTTTCCTTCCCCCTGTCCACCCAAAAAGAAAAGGGTTGAAGGGCACTTAATCTCTAATGTCAGATTTTAGAAGTACTGAGGCTTTAATACTGTACTGGTTTTACTGAATAAATTGGTGTCCTTTTGCCCTATAAGAGTTAAGTGGAGGTCTGTTGCTGTTGGCTGTGGTGCTCTTGTAATTCTGCACTCTATTTCTAGAGTTGCATGTACCAGTTTGACTGTCCTTGTGTTTATGTTCATTAGTCCTCATTAAATCTTTCAGCTTCTGCAGCAGTCCCATTGCACTAGGAAGCCTCACAGGAAGTAAGGGGCAGTGCCCAGTTTTGAAAATCTGTATGTGTTAGGTATGTTATTTAATGACTGCACAGAAAATGCAAAGAGTTTGTGGTAAATAGAAGCAGGGTGATTTCAAGGCACTGCCTTTCCCCCTGTATTTCAGTGTAGCTAATGCAGGCATAACTATGTGATGCTGCGTGAATGAGTGGCTTGTTTTATGGTAAGGTTTTATGTTTAGGGATAAAGTTAAAATTAGACTATAAACTTTTTACAATGCTTTTTAATTATAGCTCTTACGTTTTTAAGAATTAGGTTCTTAAATCAGCTGCCAAGAAGGTGAAAAGCTTTAATGAAAAATATACCAGTTTTTTAGATAACAGAAATTGGATGCATCGCTATCTAATTGTTAGAAATTTTGTTAGAGTGAGAAATTCACTGCTATAAGCAAGTGCATCCATAATGTGTTAACCTGAAGTGCAAAGATACTCCGAAAGACTTAGCACAATTCGTGTCAGCAGAATTGTTTGTTCTTTCAGAAATGGGGATATGTGGATACAAAACCCTACATATGTCTATACTGCAGTATCAGAATTCAAATGTAAAAAAAATACAACACTACTGTTACCTGTGGTCCTGATTTTAGCTTTATTCTGTGCGCACATTGGTATCACTTAATTGTGCAATGGTGTAGCGGTTCACTTCTGCACTGCTTTTGCTCTTTTCAGTGCCCTGGATACAAGCTGGTATGTGATGAATGAAAGCTTTATGCGGGTTCCCCGCCTCGCTGGCTGCTGACGTTAAGAAGTATGGGAGTAAGACTGGAGGCTACAGCAAAAAAGGTGGCCTGGGTGGCTAAGGTAGTCAGACGCAAGGCATCTGGGAGAAACGAATGCAAACTTCTAGTCACCGAGTTTCTGTGGGAGAGCAAAACAAGTCGATAACTAACCTTTTACGGGGATTTGTGCAGTTTGTGCACTTTCCTCACTTTCTAGTACCCAACCCGGAATATTTTGCCTTGGTTTGTAAAAGTGCGAGTCTGTCGTATGATTTCTTTTGTTATGTTGTCATCTTTGGCACTTAGAGCAATTGAAGTATTTTATACTGCTATGGAAACAGCTATAAATGGCTACGCAAGCGTTTCTTTTGTTGATGTTCTGTTCTATCTCGTTGCTGCTTGAAAGAAATCTCATCTAATTTACTCCCATCAGACGCTCGTTCAGGTTTTGCCTCTGTATTGTAGCTTCTGAGAGTTGCCTGTAGAGAAATAGTCAATAGTCCTTTTGTGCGACTGAATATATCTGAGCACCTGAGGAAGAAGACGGGGGGAAAAAGATTCTTCTGGTGTTCATGGAGATGAGCACTGCTAGACCACTAGCTCCATCAACATCAGGCTACTAGTAGATGTTTCCTATGGTAACTTCGTGGTAACTGGGATAAACTCAAATTTTAACTGTAAAAGGTGCTTCACTGGGTGTCTTTTGGAATTACGTTGCCTCCTCAAGCACCTATGCTAGCTAACGATTTCCTATAATTCCTTAGTTTTTGTCTTAGGTTTCTTTCTACTTCCTAATTGAATATTGTTCCTGGTGGTGGGATTCCAGTGTGATGTTTCCTGTGTTTTCCCTTCCATGTTTCTTGTTGGCTTTCTGTTCTGTAAAAGCAGTGAAGTAGAGCTTAGTTAAGCTGCTTTAGACTGCAGACTTCGTTTTGTTGTATATAGTAGAAAGGATGTAGATGTGGTGTTTGAAAGCATTAAGTATCTTTTGTAACATGCCTGCTTTTTTTTTGGCTAATGGAGAAATGCTTAAGAGTGGCTTCTGTCACCCCTCCAATTGCCTGTTGTGCTTTTTGTGAATTTGGTCTCCTGGTATTTAAACCTTGCTTTGTTTTCATGCAATAGGAATCTAATTTGAAGTTGAGATGAGTAATTGCAGCTGAGCTTTTCTTGAACTGCCTCTCAGAATGAGCTTGTTGCTTTCCTGATGCTGGTACAGTAGAGGGGTGCATCAGTTTGATGCGTTTAGTTGGCTAGCTTGGATTTAGCCGTGCTGTCTGAGCTGGAATTGATTATTTGCCACGTTAAAAGGGACATAAACTTAAATTGCACATCTGTCATAGCATTTTTCCAGATAATAGTATTTTCCAGATTCCTAAAATGGATGCATTAGGAGAGCATTGTTTTCTCTTGTTTTGTTTTTTTCCCCAAGTGCTTTAAAAAAAATTTCCCTGGTTTCATAAAAGTTCTGGGCATAGAGGGGAAGCACGTCGAAATTGGAAGGTGTGATAGACTTTAGTTCGGTCTATTTACTTAGCATGGTATTACAGCGGTGTACTATCAACGCAAGTACTGAGAATTACCTAATCTAAGAGCAATCCCTGTAATCTTGGCCTCCCAGTTAGCCCCGTGATGTGCCAAAGTGAAACTTGAGATACAGCCACTAAGTACAGAGGCTACTGGTTTCTATAGCCTGACTGTTCTGCTTCCAGCAAGTCGGCACTGGCTGCTCAATGCAAGATGCTATTTGATAAAACAGGTCATGTTTTACCCTCCTGGGTGCTGCTACTTTGTCCTCTGACTCGTGTCTGTTCACTTCCCTAGTTTATCTGTGTAACTCTGCAATGACAACAATAGCAAGCTCAAGGCATGACAAATTTCAGACAGAGTAAAGTCTTTCTGGAGATCTTCTGAAAATGACAAACGGGAATTGCAAAGCCTAAACTATATTTAAAAAAAAAATCTCATGTGAGAGATCCCCAGACCAGGGATAATGTTTTACAGATCTCTGCATCTTTCAGACAAAATTCTCTATTTAAGAACGGTAGTGCTGGTGAGGCAACAGTTAACTTGTGTGGTTTTTTTTTAGACAGAAATCTTCTGTATTTCAGTGTGGTTTACTGGAGAAATGAAGCCTAGACTGTGTCAGTCCCCCACAGCAATTTTTGGAAGTCCTGACCTGTGAAAACAACTTAGAGATGGAAGTATTGAGTGTTATATAGGTTTTCTGACAACAGGGTGCTAGGTAGAAGAAAAGCTCATTAGAGCTCACCGGATGGAGGAGCTGCAGCAGACCTTTACTCCTTATTATGCAGCAGGGAGCTGGTGCTGGAGCAGGATGGCGAGGGCTCGCGGTGGGAAGCCGGCTCCCTTGGCATCGGCACTCCAGAATTTGAGCTGGCCCTGGCAGGACCGCTAGCAAGCGGAGTGCAGGTGGGAGTATGTGGCTGTGCGTCGTGCAGAGCCCCTGAAGAAATACAGTCGTTGCAAATGGGTGCCAGAGCTGTTGTGCCACCCTTTGGATGAGTCTGTCAAACTTCTGAGTGCCAGCTGCTGCGGAAAAAGATGGTTGTGTGCAGCCATATGCCCGTGTTTGCTTTCCCCTCCAGACTGCAATAAGAGAATGTACAATCTTAAATACAGTATATGTTAGCCTGTAATTAAAGCCTTGTGAAGTGGAGAGCAGTTATAATATACTTCAGTGTGGTAATAGGCATACGTCCTGATTTGGATTTTTATACGCCTTTTTGATCTGCGGTACAGATACAGTGATCTGGCAGTCTTTCACCTTGCTCAGAGCTCATATTCAGTATTTAGTTATGTTCACTCATGCTAGGCATTTGAGCGCAAAGCTTTGAAAACTCAGGTCACTTAGTTCAGTGTTTAAAACTAGTAACTGAACTGATGGCTCTCTCCAAGCTGCGTTTTAAGTCTTGTCTATATTCTTTGCTTGACCAGTAGCACGGCTGCCTTTGTGCACTTTTGAAGAAACAAGACTGCAGGTCTGTGATCTCCTTAAGCTGATGTAACTTGGTGCTGCCTCTCAAAGGAGTATGCTGTTCTGGTCAGTGCTAGCTCTTAGGGACCTGATCGGCCTGAAAATGAACCCCAGCTTAGCTTAATAAATCTCCCGAACGCTTGTCAAGTGGGCACAGGAACACTAGTGGCACCGTGAGAAGGTATGTGAGTGCTCAGGGGTAGGAGAACAGGCAAGATTGCCTCTTTCAGGAGCCAGCTATGTGGTCTTATATATATTTCCATTTTTACTGAGTCTAATATGTTTTTAAATTACTGTAATACATGGCAGCAGAGTAGCCAGCACTGCAAGATGATCTACCCAAATCTAAAAACTATATTTGTGAAATCGTGCAAAAAAATTAGTGATTTTATACTGTATCCCTGGAACGCAGCAGTGAATGCTCAATATCCTGCATATATAAATCAGCTTCTACGAGCTTTTACTTTCATGTACAGTATGAATCTGTTGACTAGGAATCTAGACCCCCGCTGGGAGAAACCTGGAAACTCCTGCCCTTCCTAGCAGGAAAAGCTTGCCTCGTGCCCTCCTTGCTTGGTTGCAAGGGAAAGCCTGCAGGTGAGTGAATAGTCTCGGCCTGCCTTGCCTCCCAGCTGCAAGCTCAGCTAGGCTGGAGCAGCAAACTGCTGGAGTTTGTTTTCAATCGTTTAGTCCTGCCAACTTCCTTGCTGTAATTACTACGTATGAGTGACCACAAGGGTTTGAGAAAAACAGAGTTTGTGTTTGACGTGGTTATGGATAAATGGCAGTTTTAAGTAATAACATGGCAAACTTACTACTAGAATCTGTATATAATGAGATTTCTTTGAAGGTGCTGATGCCTGGCCAGTGTGTACACTTGGTAAATTCCCATTCAAAGCAAAGAGTGAACCAGAGTAGGATTTTTTTTTTTGTGTAGTTTATTTTTGTTAGAAAACTTTCAGCTCTTAAGCTGCTGATACTTGCGGATTTTGTTTATTACACTGTAATTGGCCTATTCTGCTTGCGCTCCTCATGTAGCAGAGTCAAACTGGAATCACAGGCTGCCTGTCTGAGAAGTGTCACAAAAAGACTTGGAAGAATTGCACAGCTTTGAATAGTCGTGGCCATGGTTTATGGAGACTGTTCTCTTGCTCATGCTGCTACGGCAGTAATGGATGAATCTTAAATGGTTGCTGCAGATGCCAGGTTGAGTGATTCAGATGTATGCAAATGTTCGTGCTTTGTTGCATCCCTCAGATAGTAGCAATATCCTCTCACAGCAGAGCAGCATAAGTTAAGGAGTTGGATTTAAAATAGAAGATAGTCCTTGTCACACACACAACTTGCAGAAGCTGTGAGAAAAGATCTGTTCTGGAAAAATTCTCGATTTTAGAAGAATCAGACCTTTTGTAGGGATATATGGATTAGTTCTCTTCCTAACCACGTCAGAAAGATGTAGGAAGCTAAATGGAGTTTTGGTCAGCTTTATGCTGCCTTTTCCCTGTTTTTGCACAAAGCACAAGCTTGCTAAGTTTATCTGCAGTTGCTGGTCGTAGTCCGAAGTTGTCTTCAGGCTCTATTAAACTTGCAGGACAGCGGGCATGGGTTATAGTATGGGGTCAGAACTGCTTTGTCTGAGACTTCAACTGCTGCTGAATGCTTTGAATTTTTTAATTCCCTTTAATGGAAGAATTAGCATTGAGAATCCTAGATTGGTCAGTGCTTCCGTGTGGCCTTTTAGCGTTGCTAATTATCACTGCCCAAACTGACGGCTTGTCCCAGCGTGGAGTAACTATAATTTTTTTTCTCCCCAAGTATGTTCTTAATGTGATGCTGTTGCTTGCTGTTGCCATGGTGCTGAGAGTGCTATGTCAGATTAAAGATAATTTGGCCGTTTTGGTAAGCTGCTCTGAGCAGTGTGACTAAGGAGTGATAATCTCATTAAGTCACATCAAAACAAGCAGAGCGCATTGGAGGGGGTAATAGCACTCTGACCATCAGCAAGATGGTGATATATAAAATTGGGGGGGGGGGCAGTGCAGGTCAAGGTGGTTGAAATAGGTGGGGACGGTGAAAACACAGTAGATCATCTTTGTTTGTTTGGCCAGCCGTGGCTTGCAGCGTGGCTGTAACTCCTCAGTTCTGACTGAGATGAGGACTCTCTCATGAGGTTTTTTTTTTAATTGTCGTTTCTGTGCCATGCATGAATGCACATGCAGTAGGACTGACGTGTTCAAGTCTGAGTAGATGATCTGTCTGTCTGTCTATTTCTGTGGTGCTTATCTGGACTCATGAATCACTTGTTCGTGTATGTAGTCGGTTACAGGTATGCTCTTTCTCTTTTCATGTAGGATGCACACTCACAAGGAGAGGTGGTGGCATGCCTGGAAAAAGGCCTGGTGAAAGAGGCAGAGGAGACTGACCCTAGAATTCAGGTTTCTGATCAGTGTAAGAAAGCTATTCTTCGTGTAGCTGAGCTCTCTTCAGATGACTTCCACCTGGACCGGCATCTCTACTTTGCATGCCGAGATGACAGAGAACGATTTTGTGAAAATGTGAGTATTTTCCTCTTGCCTTCCATTCTACGTTAATCCATTAAAAAGAAATGGAAAAAGAATGGAGTCAGAGTGGAACCTGAGCACGATCTTGTAATACTGAAAACTGGCACCTCTTAGCTGTCGCTTTGCAATAACTCTGGTATTCAGTTCACTAACCCAACAAAAGTGTGTTACAATTTTTACTGAGTTAATGAACTGAATTAGCTTATAAATGGTTTGATGGGCATCAGACTTGGAGTGAAATGCGTGGAGCCGCTCGAATGGGTGAGGGAGGCCAGGGTGAGCAACTCCCACTTTCTGCAGTGGTAAGCTGTTGCACAAGATTAACCTCTTCTGACTTTACTTGCAGCACTCCTTACCACTGGAGCGATGAGCTGGAAAGCTGCATTGTTCAGTCTGTATTAGCTAGTATCAGCTGAGGGGGTTTCTCACTAAAAGGTTGATGAACCAGATCATAGTAAAAAAATAAAAATTGTCAGCAAGATTTTTTTTTTTTCTTGGTAGTACAGAAGCCACCACAATCGGTTCAGGTGCTAGCTTTAATATATTTCTAGCTTAAAAAGAAATCTTTTTGGCATAGTTCAGCCTGCTTGTTAAGCATAATGTGTCTTATCCTTAATGGCTCATGTTACTATTCTGTTTCACAGACTCAGGCTGGGGAAGGCCGAGTTTACAAGTGCCTCTTTAACCACAAGTTTGAAGAATCAATGAGTGAAAAGGTAGGTATCTGTCTCAGTGGGACAAATTCTTAATGCAGAAATGATCAGATCTTTCATCAGTCCAGACTGCATTGTTATTTTCCAGCGTTGAGGAAAATCTGTCCATCATCTACGTGGCCAGATAAGACTATTTTAACAGATGCCTTTGCTGTGATAGGTTTTTGTTTCCAGCTACATGCTGATGGCTTGAATTAATTATGTTCAAGTTACAGCCTTTAAAGTTTAAGGATGTAAATAAATCAAAGCTTCTCTTGGGTGGGTAATTTGGGAAGGTAGACTTGGAGCTCAAGTAGCAGTGTGGTGATTAAGTGTTTAAAGTAGAAGTAGCATCATGCTGAGGTAAGCCTTGTATAAATCTTATACTGTACAGGTTAGAAACAAATTGTCTAAATGTCTCAAGGTAGGAAGCTGTATGGGTGTTTCACTTTTTTGTTTTCTAGGCTATAATTATCTGACTATTAAGTAGCAAATCATGTGGGGAAGATGTACAATTCAAAGTTAGTGGAGTTGTGCTTAGGCTCTTCTACCTGAAGACACAGATTTTAACAAAAAAGTTGATCTGTAGAGTCAATCCCGAGAAGAGTTTCCTCATAGCTGTAATGGTGTGGGTGTTTTAGGAAGGCAGCAATGCCTTCAGTGATTCAGAAGCAGCATCATAGTGATAGGAACTAAATAGAACTATAGTCTGAAAGGATACGAAGCTGTATATCTGTAAAGCCCTTCTCGAAGAAGCTCTGCTGAAGGAGCCCAGTTCAGAGGCCTGCAGGGATCGGACTCATTACCTTTTCTTTAAATGCATTAGCTATATGAAAGCTTAGTTCCAATTAACAAATTCAAAACTGAAGGAGGAGTCCCTGAGGGCTTGAAAAAAAGTTTCGTTTTATACAAGGATGGTTCCTGAGAGGGAGTGCTATTTTTGCTTAGTTTGTTTTTGCTTGTAGAGAGATAGTATTTTGCAGTGGGGTCTTTTCCGTGATGAGCTGTGTTACTTAAGATATGAATATGAAATGTTAGGAGTTTGGACAAAGCTGTGGCAAATTACCTGATAAGAAGAGAGAAGTGGATGCCCCAGGGTGGAAGAGCAGTTTGCAGAGCAGGAGGAACACGCAGTCTGATTTTTTTTTTTGACCCTCGTAGCTGCCAAGGCTGGACCATGTGCAAAGTCTCTTCAGTTCAGAAGAAGCTGTTAGTAAAAAATTGCTCCTTGCTGATGGTGTCAGGTGCTGCACACACATAGGAGACAGTAGTTGATTGGTGGGTGACTTGTTTTGTTCAATTTGAAACTGCTCACCAGGCTCTTTTTTGAGACTCTTTTTGAATGAAGTTAGGGGATTGTTCTTGCAGCTCCTGGGACGTGTGGGTCAGGTTTGGTCACAGTGCATCCTCCTGAGTCTCACCAGGTTTGGAAAAATGGCTAGAAATTCCTGTGGGTAGACTGCATATCTGTGCTGTCATCTGTTTGGCACATTACAGTACAAATCCAAAGAACATACTCCTTTGTAAATGGGACTGGAAAAAAGTTGTTTCTTGAGGGCATGGGGTGAGAATGTACCAGAGCTGGGATAAATGTCAGCTACTGATCTTGGTTACTGAGAATGAGTCATGCTTTCAGCCATAGCTCTTCACAAAAAGCTAGATGAATGTGCAGTTTTAAAGGCAACAGTCCTCTGCAGATCATTTCTTAAAACCCTTGATCTGTTGACCTCAGATGTGGATTGTTAATTGTGCAGCTTCTATGAGACGACCAAACTTAACTGCAATCCAACTTAAGCATGTGAATTGTAGAGCACCTAGAGTTTTTTGAAATGCAAAGAACTTGAAAACCTTATCAGTAGCTGAGCTAGCACTCTGGCAGGAGCTGGCACGAGCGTGCTGAGGCTCATTCAGCTGTCCTAACGTGTCTCCTACAGTGTCGTGATGCGCTGACAACCCGCCAAAAGCTGATTGCCCAAGACTACAAAGTCAGTTACTCACTGGCAAAGTCCTGTAAAAGCGATCTGAAGAAGTATCGTTGTAATGTGGAGAATCTTCCCCGGTCTCGGGAAGCCAGGCTTTCCTATCTGTTGATGTGTTTAGAGTCTGCTGTGCACAGAGGTAAGAGGAGCTGAACTGAGTGATGTGTGGTTTGCTGAGGTCTTGATTTTAAAAGTTTGTGTGAGACTTTGAACTAGCAGCTTCAATAGGCCTTTGTAGCCACCTTCTCCAAGTAAGCTTCTTTAAAGTTTTGGGTCAAAGAAAGGCACATTTCCTCATCGTGCTTTCATCACTGTTATTTTGAAGATTATCTAAAAATAGCTGAGGAAATGTCTGACAACAGCTCTTATTGTGTAGGCAAGAAGCTTAAAATGCAAAATAGCAAATCCCACTTGGACTGATGATGTGTAATTGCAAATCCTTCTATTCACTGTGAATTCAGACAGGCTTTTTCCCCCTCCTTCATGAAGTAAACATTAAGTATGCTACTAGTTTAAAACAGAGTAGGCCACTTGCTCATCATCACTCAGTGAAAGCCAGGGATGTTCCATCTCATGCCTCTTATGTTTCTTCAGTAGCTTGAGTAAATGCTTTAATTTCTGTAGCTCTTACCTAGTTTTTCCTGTGTAGAAGGAAAGTAAGTGCAACAGTGCAACGTTTTTTTTTCTATGCGTTTAAGTTACTGCAAGCTAGAGACATCCTAATGCCCATGGCCATCCCAAAGGCATTAGAGGGCCCTATTACAGTAGCACCATGTTAAACGTCCTCTGTGAAATTGTTGTAATGTGTAAAATGACACGTATTATATCCTCTGCATCTGTATTGGAGAATTGTTTGTTGCGAATGAAGGATTTGTGCTTCTGTGGCAGAGCCGCGTGCTGCAGTGCTGCAGAAGC